TTTTGAGGTAATTAGCTGATTAGGGTGTGACACCATGACTTTCCAATATTGAACTTTTTCACAATATTCTAATTTTCTGAGACACTGAATTTGGGGTTTTCATTATCTGTAAGGCATAAAAATCACAATTTCAAGAAATAAAGGCTTGAAATGTTTCACTCTATGTGTAATGAATCAATATCATATATGGGTTTCACTTTCTGAAATGAGTGACAAAAAATATTGACCTTTTTCATGATATTCTAATTTTTTGAGATTGTTTGTGTGGGTGTGTGTGTGTGTTTTAATAAATTTATGTGCTTTTGTCATGTGTATTATTATTTTTTACAAATATTTCTATACGGTTTAATTTTTTTATTTCAGTTTAATACTTCTACATAAACTTATTTCAGTTAGATGCCAAGGCAACATTTCTATTTTCATGTAGTGTAAGTTTTAAAAATATTTAAAAAATGTTTTATATTTTATGTCAACATTATTTCATTTACCGAAAATGATTTTTATTCTGTGGAAAATAATGTGTTTTCTGAACCTTAAACCGCATAAACACATTTCATTACACCAAATACACAAAATAATGTTATTTTTAGCAACATCATATGACCCCTTTAAGACTAACAATTCTTTAAGTGTATTGTGTCCTCGCCTGATATAAAAGACAAAATCTGGTTGTCGAAGTTTCTTCCTGGCGCTTCGTTCTCCTTTACGTTCTCCTGACATTAACCGTGCTGACAAATGTCAGTGAAACCGTGTAAATCTCGTCATGAAAGGTCACATAGTCTTTGCAGCACCTGATTCATTAGAGGCCCTCCAGATTAGGGGCCAGAAAAGAGGCGACACTTGAGAACTGGACGTGTATATTTATTCATATAAGGATCAGACGGCATGTTGGACCTGTGGCGGCACAGTTCACACATACGACATCAGTCCTCCGAGAGTCCAGAAAGAGCACTCGTAGTCCTCTGCAATCCCAGAACACCTTGCTCTCGGCACATTCACAAGTGAAAGGGAAATAAAATGTAGACAACAACAAACAAGTTTTCTCAGAGCATAACGCACAGGAGAACAGTGTAGACAGATCTGCATTTTAATACAAAGGCATATATTTTCTTTAGGACATAAAATATTAACTGCACAGCAGTAAGAAAAGGTCGTGTACAGATTGTTTGTTCATACACACCATTGAAACACAATTTCGGGTTGGTACAATTGTGCTAATCAATAATTCGTTTTGCATAAAGACCAAACGTAATGTCAGCTGTCCAGAGGGAACGTTTTGACATTCTCCTCCACACATTTATTCAGCTCGAGCATTTTTCCCAATGCGGTAAAACTACTAAAAAGCACACACACTCACAACAAACACCCAAAAGATGCTTTTGCTCTATACATACAGCATGTTCAAATATATTGGCATATTCTGGATACAGCACACCTCTGAATACTGCACTTACTGATGTCTAACACCACACTTCACGTACGCCACGACCTCTGACCTCTACACGCCCCACGACTATTGAAACCCCACCCACCCCGACGTCTTCAACACCGTACCATCCCGCTTAAACACTTTTTAAGGCACGTTTTGGCTACAGAAAGGCGTTAAAAGAAGCGGTTTACACTCGACTACGGAGACTTGCATCTGTGCTTGTGCTGCTTTAAAGCGACAGTTCATCCTAAAAATGAAAATTATTTACTCACCGTCATGTCGTTCCAAACCTGCAGACTTTTATTTTTCCAGTGGAACACAAACGTAGAATTTTTTTAAATTGTTTATATGTCGTTTTTGTGTTTTTATGGCAGGAAACGTGAAGATTCTTCAGAAAATTCTTTTTTTTAGGGCTGGGCATTGACACAAATTTCACAATTCGATTCAGTTCTGATCTAAATTCGATTTTGATTCATTTTGATATATATGTATGTATGTGTGTGTGTGTGTGTGTGTCAGTATGTCAGCTTTTCTCAATGAAATATTTTATTTCTACTAATGCTGTAGGGAAACCTGTCAAGTTGGTTCATTACTATAATATTTAAGGTTTAAATAGTTTAAAGGTAAAAACCGACAACTGATTTGTATACAAACATTTAAATTGCACATCAGGCAGTTTTTATGGTAATTACATAATTATCTTTCTATTCCAAGTAGTTTTTGAAATAAACATTTAAATGCTGGCTGCCATAAAAACGTATTTTCATGACGGATTTAGTTCAAATGTACATTAAATAATGAAGAACATGTCAAGTAAAAATAATATAGCGTATATATATTTAGCAAAATGTTCCTCTCTAGAGTTTTATTTTCTACCTAACTGTCAAGTTTATAAACATTGAATGGCTTTCCCGAGGTAAATGTACGTTATGTGACATTAAGTTTTATTGACGTCTTTCTGCGGTTAAAACGCTGATTGAGACACGATACATTTCAGTAAGTTGTACTGTATCTTTCAACATACCTTCTGATGTTCGTTCATTTATTTCGTCCTATAACTTTAATTAAAGGGATAGTTCACATTTTTGGGTGAACTATCCCTTTAAAGTGCAACCTATGACTCTGAGGCTATGGTTTGAACTGAGGCGCTATATAGCGATCTGTCACTCCACATTTAAGAGCACCAAAACAGTATTTATTGATTGAATTCTGTAATAAAATAGAATTTGAAAGCTAAGACTTTATTTCTTATCAAATGTAACAAAGCACTAAGCTTACTGCGATTTACTGGATAGGATGCGCACTCGATAGGAACGACACGAGGGTGAGTTAATGATGATCACACGTTTATTTTTGAGTGAACAATCCCTCTAAAATCAAAGAGTAATTGGCAAGAGTAGACTCGAAAGCATGGAGTCAGAATCACACATGCAGTTACGATCATCAAACGCAGCTCCTGCTGCTTGTGTTAAAGCAGACGGGAAGAGAGAGGGAAGGCTGGCCCGTGCCAAAGCGCTTCACGCCTAGCAGCTCTGCCCAACTCTCTGACAGAAACAGAAACGGAGAGATCTGACATCACATGCCATCTGCTACCACGAAACCGCTGCTCTCAGATCAGTAACAGGCAGCGAGATCAGACTATTTCCATAGAGAAGGCCGTGAAACTCCCTGACCCGCTACAAAACTTGAGTTCAGTGGGCCATATTAACAGAAAACCTGTTTAAAGACCCTGTGAAAGTAAAATTGGAGTTTTGTGGTTTTTATGTCATGTCTGTTAGCTTTAAGGCTAACATTTATATGCTAATGTACCTTTAAATGCTGACAAAATACATTTGTTTAAATGTCAGGGACTATATTTTCTGTCAGAAGGATGAAAAGTATGTAATATTTTGTAGAAACAGTTTAATGAAATCAATCGTGGCCATGCTTTGTAACTCCAAACAAAACTCTTTAGCCTTGACTATATTCTAGTACCTTATTGCTTGGTTTTATCATATACACAACCGTTCAAAGGTTTGGGGTGAGCAGGCTAAGATTTTTTTCTTCAAAGAAATTAATACTTTTATTCAGCAAGGATGCATTCAATTGATCAAAAGTGACAGTAAAGACTTTACAAAATATGTTTCAAATAAATGCTGTTCTTGTGAACTTTAAGTTTAGCAAAAAAAAAAAAAAAGTATCACTTTCCACAAAAACATGAAACAGCACAACTGTTTTGAACATTAATATTAATAATAAGAAATGTTTCTCGAGCACCAAATCATATTAGAATGATTTCTGAAGGATCATGTGACACTGAAGACTGGAGTAATGATGCTGAAAATTCTGTGTCACAGGAATAAATTACATTTTAAAATATATTCAAATAGAAAAAAGTTATTTTAAATTGGAATATTATATCACAATATTTCAGTTATTATGCAGTCTTAGTGAGCTTAAGAAACTTACCAACCCCAAACTTTTGAATGGTAGTGTATATGCATGAATTGTCTATTGTCCACAATGCTCTCTAGAATGAGACTGTCCCTCACCTGCTACAACTAGCACTATCAGTTAGATTTTTTCTTTCAGCCTGTAACGCAAAACAAAAAGCTTCAAGCCTTTTCTTGCTGTCTTTAAGATGACATGCAAATGTTACATAGCTGTAAAAAAAGTTTTGTCCAAAGATAAAAGCGTCTCTGGGAGCAGAATTTTGGCTGAGTGCTATCGTACCATCTTGTTTAGTGGCAAATAACAAACAAATTAGCGTGTCATTATCCTCCCTGCCAAAATAAAGCCATTAATGATCCAGATCACACATCTAAACCCTTTCCAATAGAGCCGCAAACAGTCGGATGAGAAGTTTTCAGTCAGTCCTCTCAGCTTTGCTCAACCATCTCAGGCCAGAAACAAAGTCTATGCAAGCTGAAATTGAAAACATCTATACTCTTGCATACAGCCTGTTTCAGGCATTGTTTCAGAAACGGCCAAAAATCTGTCCTGTACATCGACTGTTTGTGCTTTATGTAATAAATTCAGTCAGCAGCAAAGTTCTCACAATAAAGCAATTTTCTGAAGTAAACTGAAATAAAGGCTTTGCACAGGTAAAAAAAGAAATGCCTCATGACAACTTATTATTGCCTGTGTTGATTATTTGTGGATCTACTAGTGAGTCCATATGGCTGAACTGAAACAGTTGGTTATGAAATGGACGGCCATTTGATCGTCTAAACGGATATGTTTGGAATAACATACTAGCATACTGCAGTGCAGCACACACTATTTTGTGTAGAAATGTCTCAACTTTTGGCTCAAATAATAAGTTAAAAAGGAGATGTTAATAATGATAGCTGATATTAGATCACGCTGAAAATAGAAGGTCAGGATGAGTGCATTGCATTGTGGGATATAGTATTTTGTGCAGTATACTCTTGTGTTAAGGTGTGGTCACATTAGCGAAATTTCAGCACGGATCTGTCCGTGAAAACGTACCGAACAGTGGTAAATGTGACTTAGTATGGGTAATATGCTAGTATGCTGTTCCAAACACATCCCATGCAAATCCTGCTGTCACCTTCAGCACACACACACACACACACACACACACACACACACAGAAGCTTTAAAAACAACTGATACAAGGCCGTCTATTTAAAAAGTTATTCTCCTCTTATAAAGCTTTCTGCATAAAGACTGCACATTAAAAAAAATATAGAATACGATTCTTAAAACCTTTTGTCTCTACACAGGAAGAAATTGAACATCTGATTATAGTGATGAGCTAAATACACACTGAGAGCGTTCGTTCGGACAGGGTTAGAGGTCAGTCACTTTGTTCTCCAGCGCTGCGGCGATCTGCTGCAGTCTCAGTGTTAACTGTTTACTCTGGGCAGCAGGATCTTCATCCAGAGACATGATGATCTACAGAGACAGACAACGACCATGAGCCTTCACTACACACACTATCTATCTATCTATCTATCTATCTATCTATCTATCTATCTATCTATCTATCTATAATCTATTTCTATCCATCCATCTAATAGTCTCTGTCTGTCTGTCTGTTTGATGTTTCCCCCCCTCCATTTTCAATCATCTTTTAGCTGTTTATTTAAATGGTCCTGCCGTGTGACAAATTAATTTTTTCCCCCATATAGTCTCTCAATTAATGTAAAACGACTTGCATATTAATTATACCAAAAAAAACAAAAAAACAACAACGTAAAGCTTAAGTTCAAAATACTTGTATATGTCACTGCTGTCAGTTCTTCATGTCAGTTACCCGTGTGTGTGTGTGTGCACTCACCCCATCGTAGTATTTGCTGGCGTACCGGTAGAGCTGATGAAGAGCCACTTGAGTGTTCAGTTTGTCTGTGTGCGCCTGAAAAACAAACATAAATCAACACCAGTCTGTTAATTTTCCCTAAAACTCACAGAAAGCCCATCACACACTCACCCGTGACACTTCAGCCAGATGTGTGTTCATTTCCTGGTCACTGACTGACACCATCTGCCGGATTCCTTTATAGTACCTGTGGAGAAACACAACAGACGTATGATCCAAACTGCAGCTAAAAACACCTACTCTGAACAGGGTTGGTTGCTTTACATATAAGTCTGAAGGTCTCTACCTGTCTCTTAAATTGCATTTAAATCTTAAAAAAAAAAAAAAAAAAAAAAAAAAAAAACCGCACAATATACTGTTGTGTATCTAAATATAATTTATTTACCTACTAAAGTGTCTCAAACACAAAGATAATCAAGAATAACTTTAAAAGATTTGATGCCTTTAAACTTTAGCAGACTAGTTCTACCTCAGAACTGCTCAATGTATCCGCCAGGGAACATAAACACAACTTGGTTTCCCAGAGGACTGATAAAAACCTGTCGCTCTGACTCCCAGATATTGCATAAACCCAGTCAATCAGATCATGCTGAGAAAGTTCTCGGCATTTCTGTGCACAACATGCATCAGACAGTCTTGCAAACCATCTGTGAGCGTTCGGCTGGAGGCTGGAGGCTGAGACTGCGCAATACTGGAGCACTTACTCATCTACCATCCTTTTGTAGGTGGAGATCTCCTTTGCATAGAGTAATTTGTTGCTGGGAGAATCCTGCAGGCAACAGAGAGAGAGAGAGAGAGAAAGAGAGATAGAGAGAGAGAGAGAGCAAGTCGATAAATGATGTGTTTCTGGGTTCGTTTGTCTGTGGTTGATTCTCAAACACTTACCCGACTGAGTTTGTGCTCTGTTTTTGTGCAGGCGTCCATGAAGGTCTGAGCTATGACAGACAAAGAGGCGTCCACGACCTCGCTCACATGCACGTCAAAAATGAAGTGAGGGTTCTTCAGTATGTTTACCCAGAAACGCAGCGGCAAACTGCAGAGAGAGGCGGATGAATAAAAAAGCGGCTGTGAATATGAAATACTTCACTCAGGATAGTCAAGGTTTGTTGCAACAAAGCATACAGTAATTTAGGCATTTAGTTTCACACTTCAGCAGCCTTGGTTCAGAAAGTAATTTTCAAGTCAAGTATATAATATATATGCTTACATACAATATATATAATGTTAAATAATATATTTATATACAATTCATAGCCACCATTTATTTAATGTTCTTTTCCCCACCATTTTCAATGGTGAAATTTTATTCCATATAATCTCAAATTAATATATATTTTTTTAAATACTTATGAAATATAGCATGTCACTGCTGTCACTCCTTCATGTCAACTACTATATATATTTAGAATGGACTATTATATATATATATAGATTTATATAAATAATCAATTCTGAAGTCAATATTTATATTTAATACATTTTATTTTTTTAACACACACACACGCACACGCATGCACACAAACACACACGCACACACACACGCGTGCGCACGCACACACACGCACACATACATAATAAAAAGAACAATATTGTTCATTAGTACATTTATAAGTGAAGTCAATATTTATATTTAATAAATTTTTAACTTAAACTGAATAAACTTACAAATATTTAAATATAGTATTTTGATAAATATTCACTTTTCTGAGTGGTTGCTAGGGCTCAGGTTCCTCCTTCAATGTAACATATGGGTTCTTTTCAGCATTTTATCATCCTTTAGTCAAAAATCATAAGTCTGATGACTGAGTAAAGTAACAGCACACCTCTCTTGAACAAACTGTACGATTTGAAGAATCGTTCATGTCAAACAGTGTGGGTCGAATTATGAGCCAGAGTTTAATAATCACAGTCAGGGGTTTGTTTTAAATCTCTAACCCTCGGGATGAGCAACAGCGGTGCTCTCCTTAGCAAACACCGCTAATTATGTATTTAATCCATTTTATACTGAGTCTTTCCTGCGGTTGGCGCATAAACTCACATTTACAAATTTACAGAGCAAATAATTCACTCAATCCGCCCCTCAATACTCACTCCGTCGGAGCATGAACACGGACAGACGGCTCTGGAATTTCAAACAGGTTATTAAACAGCTCTGGCTTTTGTTTCCTGTGAGCCGGTTAAAAAAAAACTCATTCAGATGACTCATTCTGGAATATATATTGGCTAGTCGCATCTCTGCAGAGAAACAGCAGAGAAAAAAACTAAAGGTGTATAATAACAGAACAATTAAATTAACCAGGGACGTAATTAAGGTGTTTGTCTGGCTGTGAGTGGGTTTTATATTTAATAGAATCACTGGTGAAGCTGCTGGAGTGATGATATTGCTCGTCACATTTATTCACATCTCAGCGGCAGCTGTCAATCACGCAGCATCCGCGGCAGCACATCAGGCGGAATAAATGAATGCAGCGCTGGCATTAGCATTTGCCGAACGGTCTCGAGAGAGAAGAGACAATCAGAGAGCAGCACAACACTCTCACTCTCTCCCACCTGTTGGTCTTCCAGATGTGTATGGTTTCTTCATCTACGTTCTCATGTCTAAGGGCTTGCTCATCCAGGAAGTCGAAAAAGTATTTAACCGCCGGCGGGACGCTGGCGCCAGAACAGAGCACACTGCGAAAGAAATCATCCACGAACTGCTGCAGCGTACCCTGAAAACACAGACACAAAAACAGGTTAATTAGAGTTTAGCACTTTCAAATGCATTTCATTTTAAAAGTGCTGTAAGTGTTTTTTTTTATGCATAAAATGATTCTTCTAACTCACAGATATCACTAAAATTCTCTCTAACGGCCCCAGGCTTTCGTGGGAAAAAAAAAAACAAAACTTTCTCAGATTTGATGCCATGAACCTTGAAAAAGGTTAATGGATATTTTATTTATTTATTTTTTAATTTCAAATGTATTTATTTCTTATTATTTTTATTTTATTTTTTGTAATATTTTATAATTACAGGTTAATACACACACACAGACACACACACACACACACATATCTAAGAAAACCTTTTAAATACACACATATATGTGTATACACATACATACACATATGTGTATACACACATACATACATATATATATATAGAGAGAGAGAGATATACACACACACAACATACAAAGTGCATGAAAAATTAAAAAAAACTTTTAAAT